CCAGGTATTCTTATCGATTAATCTTAAATTCATCAGTGACTGTGTGATTTTCTCAACCGCGATCTTGTGCATGTCTCAAAACTGTCTAGGTCGAATAATTTCACCTTACAATCCACAGATGTGTAATCAGTTTCCAAACGATTTCACAATCCGAATTGGTCACCAACACGAATTAACAAACCTCAACATCGTAATCGCACATACCTCATATCCGATGCTCTTCATTGTTCAGAGCACACCTCCTTACCAGGCTTCCGTATCCATTTCTGTTTGCACATGTTATATTCTGAGCCAAAGAGACGTAGAGTTCCCTCATATTTGAAATGGAAAGTGAGACAGAATTCCCGGCCATGTGAGGCACTCTGCTCGCGGTCTGGCTCTATTTCAGGATAATATCGACCAGTCAGTCCTCGCGTGAGATGGTTGAGGAAGAGAGACACACGGCACGCTAGACAGATGTGACTTTAACATCTGAAGCAATTTGAGCCGGCCCAAAGAGAGAAATGAATATATTTTGGATCATGACAACGAGATCATGGCTATTTCGAATCATCTACCTTCAATCTGATGGTCCGACTGCCGTAATCACTATTTTACTTTTCACGTTAGATCGCCATAAATAGAAAATAAAATGTCATAAGCTCACAGAGATACCTCATATATCTGAGAAGATCGGTTCACACAGCCCCATCAGGATATAATACGCCTTCAGATGCAAGTTTATTCGGCACTAGTTTCACTGACCGGGGTTAAATTTTTCTTGATTAATCGATGAATGATCAGAACTAAGGAAATAAGGGTATGATTTCATGTGCAATGAAAAAGAGTGATGACCAACATCGGTCAGACGTTTATCACATGGAGCTGGAAAACAAAACTCACAATCTCGCGTTGAGTCAGAAACCTAGAACTAACAACAACAACAGTCAATAAATTGACCAGCTGGTAAAGTCGAGTTAGAATATTGTTTGTTTTTATCGGCACCAAGCACCGAGTACGGTCTCGGGTGGAGGTATCCATAAGCCGGGACCGAGGATGTCTCAAACAGGATAAATCAGCCATTCAGAGCTCCCCTTGATAATCACAAATTGTTCTTGAAAACACAGCTTCCCCGTAACAAATTTCTAACATGTGATAAAATACCGAATTCGCAAGAAATAAAACCCGGTCACGGGAGTGCGCATAGTGTCTGGTAACTGTACCGAAACATGACATTTTAAGTGCTCATAATTTCTAATCAGTCATGTACAACGGCAGTTTCCTAATTTTACCCAACTTGTGGGTCAATGAAGAACAAATTCCTAGTATGAGTAAATGCTGCGGTTTAGGACAACACTCATGAGTAAAAGCGAGACTTTGTATGTGGACGCGGCAGGTTGTTAAATCCAGACAAACAGGGAATGATAAATAACGCCACGCGATCGATTTCAATCATTGTTACCATCGACAATCTCACTTTAAATCGACCGCCTCAAATTTGTTCGTGACAAAAACAGGACTTACACTGGACACCTGTGATCATCTTTGCTTCTTATGTGCCCTAACTAATCTTTTCTCACACGCATAACGACGAAAAGTGATACATTCACTGCCTTCAACGTATAGTAGTCAAGAGAGTACTCCGTGGCATTAGCTCGCTTATAAAGGTAGACAGATTTCCATAGCCCAACGCGCGGTGCAACAGAAAGAGCTACCAACCATATCATTTATAACATTTGTGGAATCCCCAACTCATACTGAACAAAAAAGACCTCAAATAATACTCAAACATAATTTCGACTGCAACAATAATACGATCACATCCCGGCAATCTATCGCATATGCACTTCTCGCTACTCGACAGACAACGACAGAATTGGACGCACCACAATTGAGTGAAAAACACGTCAAAGGTGAGTTTAACAAATATTATTTCGTCAAAATGAAAATCTCAAATTGTACAACACAACGAATCTATTTACCGGAAGGGCAACACGTACAACCACACTTGCAACCGGCGCATTTACACGATCCTTTCGGACATCCACAACCAGAACCGGTTTTGCATCCATCGCAACATTGACAATCAGTTCCTCCTCCACAACCTGATGAGATTGAAAAGGTTAATGTTTGATGAAACAGTTAGAAAAGAAAAATTACCAGGCATGTTGCTGAAGCACGAGTCCAAACGCTGTCAAAGATGGGATTGTTGTACGCATAAAAGCTGTGTATTTATGCGGATCAGCTGATTGGCTCTATGTGAATTCACCTAGCGAGAAAATGGGCCAATGGGAGTGCAGATAATTGTTGATGGCCGGGGGACTATTCACATAGTGCGCTTCCGGTTAATGTTACTGAACGAAAATTAAATGAAATAAGTTATCAACATGTTACGCAGATTCTAATTTACCCCAAACATTCTAGAGTACCTTAAGGTCAATTTTGGTAGTTCTGTGTTCAGTGCGAAATTATTTCAGTGGATCAGGAAACCCGTGGTTAAAATAATTTCTTTCTATGGAATACATTCAAATATGATAGTTTATACATTGAAAATTATTGTACTTAGTTAGGATACCCCCGGTGACGTATATGTATATAAATTTGATTCCGTGGCAATTTGTATATATATATATATATATATATATATATATATATATATATATATATATTGGATGATTGCGTTGATGAGAAAGAAGTAAATGGCCAGTCATCAACAACTCCTTAGCATCAATAAAGGTTTATTTACAATATAAACACTAAGGTAACTTTATTGATACAGCTGAGATTTCTAATGAATTGGAACACGACTCAGCCACCCAAATAGTGGATACCAATGCGTGCATGTATCAAATCGATGTTCCGTTCATGAATATATGCTTGGATACCTCAAATGCCTCCCACACACAAATACATCTGTCGATTAGAATTCGGATGAATAATAATGATGTAGCAAGAAGAAGAAGAAGAAGAACTTTTCAATTTGACCCTTAGCTATTCCGTTAGTAGAACTGTACATCCTGTTTCATGAGTAAAACTGAAGGCGATGAAAATCTTGTTGAATCGATAATTAAATGGGGAGCATGGGTACTAGGTGTACAATTCACTAACAACCGCACAGGTCATATCGTGGTCAAAACCACTTGATGAACGCGCGAAAATCTTTGGAGCAAAAGCCCATGAATTTCAACCAGTTTGCTTTCAAACACGAATTTCCTCCCATATATTAAATGGGATACTTTTCAGAGAAATTTGAACATCGACTTATGGCACACGTAACGTTAGATAAAAGTATTCGACATAAGATAAATTGAACTTTTCCGTTATTCATAACTGGAGTAGTTCATCTCCGACTCTCTTGTAAACCACGCATTTCAATTACAAACGCTGACCAGGATTTGGGACGAGATCGATTATTTTGCTCTCACGCGCACTGTTCGCCTGTTTGACTGAGCCAGTGCTCGTAAAGTCGGACACGCTCCGCGATATGATCTCACGTAGACTAACGACATATGCAAGAGACGATGGAACACTCGGTAAAATTGGGTTACTCGTAAATATACTCACTGAAATTGCGAATGCCAGAGGAGGCAAAACCCGAAATAAAATGATACATGAATGCTCAGAAGCCGCTTTCGGAACTAAGACCAATTAACCTCAGGCAATATCAAATAGCTGCAGCAAATAACAATGATTTCATTGCAAAAATTACGCGATCCATGTGTGTCTAGGTATTTTAGCTCACAATCTCACATCATCCAGTGTTTGCTGTTATAAGGAATGGTAACTGTTCAACCACCTATTCAGTTGCAAAGAAAATAGAAATTGCTTCCTATGGAAGTCTTATGTAACCCTCGGGAACAGACGACTGTTGATGATGTCAATATTTACGAATAATGCCAACTAAATATTTGGCTTGTTCTTGGTGCCGTCATTTCAGTGTGTCGTATTGAGAAATAAATACACGCTTGATAATTCCTCGCACAAACCAACTGAAAACTCAAGTCAAGGGGCGTACCTTTAACCAAGGATCTCTGAAATCCATTTAGAGCGGTCCATCTTCGGTGCGAAAATACTGTAGTCGATTTATGTCAACTGTCAATAATTATTAGAATTATAAACTAACTGTAAACACTCCCTTCCTGACTCAAATTGGAATACAGAAATGAAAATTAGGAGTTTTCACAATGTGTCTGGGATCATTTCACTGCATCTGCTCAAGTACATACTATAGTCATGAGGATTTTCAATCTCCGTGAAACAACGAACGTAAGATGGGAATGCAAGATTGTTAATAGAAACAGACAACTAAAATCAGGAGAAACGAAGCTGGGGATGTCTTTGACCAAGGAAATGATAACGTGATGAACCTTTGACTTTCGTTTGCATAAATTGCGATTATCGTTGTGTATAGCCATAATCACTACATATTTAATTAATCTTGTGTTTGTTATGTGTTGCAACGACTTGAAATGAGTGCACTGTAGTGATACATTGTTTCTTTCCAAATAGGTGTTTGGCGTTGGTAGAAAGGAGATTGGTCAGTATAATACGGCAGAAAGTTATGGCATCGAAATCCACCAATTGGTGTACACGTCGTTTGTCTACCCCGGTAATATTGTGATGGAAGGCAGTTCAAAGAGAGTCCTGGCTAGCGACCGAAGCAAGAATGGGGCCCATCCGACCAGACGCACAGACGCAGTGGGGAATTGCCTCGCGAGACAATGTTGACTGCCACCCGAAACGAGTGAATCGACAATTACAGCCCGAAAGACAACCCGCAGCTAACGGGAAAGATACCCACCGAATGCCACAACGTCGGAGCTGTCGATCAACGCATCTCGCGCCGCGATCGGGTCAAACCAGTCGGAATGGCACGCGGAGGAAGAGCCAACGTACGTGCCAAGTGCGGACCAAGACCAACAACGAATGATCCACAGAAAGAGGCATGAATCATTCCGCCGCGCGGTTCAGAATTGACTGTATATAATCGAACGTAGACACTGTTTGTTTTTGAATTGGATCAATAGACGTTTTCCCAGCCAGCTCGCCTTCTCGTTACAATATCATCGGGACCGTAATTAACTGCGAATCTACGGGGCACCTTGGAACACAACTGAAAGTTACCTTATTAGCATATGGATATATCAAACCCATCACCTGATTCGTTCGCCATGTAGCGGAGTGACTGTACACTCTTTATATCTATTATGAATTTTTTCGGAAGAGACATTTGAATTATGTAGATAATAGGGCGTTCCGTGTTAAGATCTAACTTTAGATGTTCAAAAGAAACAACAGAAGTATTAGAATCATTCTCGACCATCAAAGAATTGTGAGGAAGATACCGAATATGAAGCTGAATAGCTTCTAAATCTGCTGTTTTTTCGTTGTTCTCAAAATAAACTCACATGCGGTTTCTAAGACATTTCATTAAAGGATTAATTAATTAATTGATTAATTTTAAGTTAGATTTGAGAAACTATAACCTTCATTTGCGAAACCGTCATTGGGAATTGAGAATCCATCACTTGGAATTGAGAAAGAAACGCTGTGGTCGGATGCGCTTCTTCTCAGCGCAACTCATTTATCCATTGATCACACATTTTTTCTATACTCAGATTGATCAGCGATTTTCCCATGCCCTTTCTGTATTGAAATGAGGCAGACCTCAGTCGTGCATTTTGTCGAGCTCTGTGACGGACGTCGAATCGGTGGGTCGGTGAAAGCATGCTACTTGCATTTGACAACTAAGCTGGACGCCACTCGATATGTACGAAGGGTGACGCACTGTTTCGTGCGCACTACAGCTAAAGTACATTTCTTCGTAGTGCCTCTAACACTGACGATAGCTCAGTAATCAAAGCTACCCACAGTTACCACGACCAGGGATGCGTTTTGGGCTTACGGTGCAATCCGAGCGAGGTACTTTTCATTACGAGTATCATGGGTCTATCTGAATAACAGTAGTTGTTCAGTGACAGAGAGGTTGGAGTTCTTGCGGTGGCTTAGGGTCAATGGGCTGGCTGTCATCAATGCCCTAGCAACCAAAACCATCTCGCCCATTCCTGGCTCAGCCCATCGAACTGAACGAAACAGAACGCAGTCGATCTGTTGGGTAAAAAGGGTTATTCGTTTTCAAAAAAGTATCGCTGCGTAAGAAACATCGACAGATGACATTAAGGTACAGTAGACGTTTTTTTTCACAAGACTGCGGTTAGCAGGCCGATTGAGCCTAAAATTAATGATCACTGTGGGGGCTCTAATATAAAATAATAATAACGTTCTCGTGCTACCGGCAGGATAGACATCGAAGTAGGAAAAAAACCGGAGGCGGTTTGGCTACTCACATCAATGTTTCCTGGTATGGCAAGTCAGAATTTATATATAACTATCCTGAAAAATGCATTGACTGTTTATCTGTTCGTTGTCACCCTAAATCTTCTCGTCACAAAAGTACAAACATCACCAATGTGCATATATATCCCTCGTTTACTCGGACCGACATTTCTGCTCTCTTTGATTCCTATATTCGGTTTCTAGTTTCATTATTAGATAAAAATCTTCACTTGATTGTTGTTGATTTCAATCATGCAAGCATTTCTCCCCTGCTTCCGTTTGGTCTGTCTGACCTTTCTCATTCTCCTACCAGAGGTAGTTCTGTGCCGGACACAGTGATCACAAACCATCCCAACTTATTCTCTCTCAAACTAATGGCCCCGGTTTCTACCACTGACCATTGTATTCTTCTTTTTAGACCAAAGGTATACTCTAACATTGCTTATCAAGAATTCATACGTTCTACTCAGATAAAATTTTATCTCTCTTCTTAACCGTTCTATTGTGATTGTTCAGTCTTGGTTTGGTTCTTGTCCTTCGCTTTTTAAATCTGTCAATCTGTTCACTGATACGATTAAATCGATCGTTCACTTGTGTTGCTTCATTATAAACCCCGTTTGTCTGTGACGGTAGAATTACCTCACCCATTTTGAAATCACTGAGAAGGTACAAAGAAATGGCCTACAAATCTCGTCATGCATCACTTGTGAAGCACTATTCTGATTTAATCAGATCCGAGATAACGTACCTCAATGCAATCTTCGCCGCCCAAATTCTGTGAACAAAGAACGTCAAGCTTTTATGGCAAGGTATTCGCCTTCTCTGTGGGCAGAACAGAAAACACTCGAATACCTCTGTGGATGTGACTGATGCTATTTGGTTGATGGGGAAAATAGCTGAAGGATGAAAATTTTATAGTAATTTGCATTGACTATCCACACTTTATTCTTAATTCTTGCTCTCGGTCGTCAATTATTAGGTCAACCGTATACCCGAAAGCACTTGGCTTAAGCCTTGCCTTCTTTGTCGACAGAACAGGAAACACTCGAAGACCTCTCTGGATGTCAACAGCCTCAACGCCGCTTTCATCCATCAAATGAGAGCCAGATTTCCTCATTCCTATGCAATGAATCCAGTTCAGTGCCTTTTGCCAATGATTTAATCTTTAAGCTTCTTCGATCCTGCAAAGCATCCTCAGCTGCAGGCCCTGATGGTCTTCCTCCGGCACTTCTGAAATTTGGAGCAGCTTCCCTAACCAATATGATGACATACGGCGTCCATTAGTCCCTATCTCCTCGGTCGATTCCTGATTCTTGGCGTCCAGTGACCATTATTCCGATCCCCAAATCCAAGTCGACAACTGTTCTTGCGGAACGTTTTCGTCCTATCACGATGACCTCAGCGGCTCTGAAGTCAAGTGAAAAAGCCATTCTGAGTCGGTTGCAGTCAGACACTGAAGAGGGTGGTGAGGAATTGTGGTGGGGAAATCTCTGGTTTATATTCTCGTCCGATCATCTCAAGTGTCGATTCATATTGAGCATATGAGCTAGCCATTTCTAAATGCAACTCAAAAACTGAGTTAAAGGATGGTCAGCTTTAATTATATCTGTCAATATATCTGTCTACAAGCCATACAGGTATCAAATGTAAACTAAGAGTCTGGATTATCCACCGAGGCGTAGTATCTCTGATTGGATAACTTCGGTGATGACCGGTGATGATGTGTCCAAATGCCCTTTACAATTTGAGCATCAAGTAAATCTCAGACTGACTGAGCGCGAATCGTGTACATATTGCATCCGGTTATGTTCGGCTTTCGAGGTCTACGCGGGCGCATGCGTGTTCCTGTAAGACAAGAGAATGCGTTCCGTATGCACAATCGTGGTCAATCGTGCCCATCTCTTTTCGAAGATAGCTTCATTGGTGCTTGGCGAAAACGCGGGAACTAAAGCAATTTGATACGGGTGGCCACTTCATCAGCGGGATAATCGTATTTCATCATGAATCACGTATGCGTTGATTTACAATCTGTTATGGTCCATTCGAGTTCTTGAGATGAAATACGATCGAGGATGTTTCGGTCCTCAGTGCCCCATTCAATCATCATAATTCGCTTCATATGATACGCCCAGTATAAGTGGAAGTAGTGATCAAATCGGATTTGATTGTTTAAATCAAGTTAATATATATTGAATAAGTCAGGGTAATTATTGAATAGGTTGTGATCAATGTTGCTGCCCTCGCATGTGTTCACCAAAATCGAATTGAGTATCTGGAGTGACATTTGGATGTGATCAGAACGCCTAGTAGATTTCTGCTTCACATTAGATCACAGTCAAATTGATATTACTTTTGATTCGTTTGCAAATGTACTCGGGTGTTCATGAATAAATCCGTGTTTTTTTTACTACCCATCATTTCATTATTCCAAATTGGTCCATTCGGACACCATTTATATGTGATGTGCGCATGACAGTAGCCCGCAAAACAACCCTCGCTGTTTTGTCCACTCGTTAGTCTACAAAGCTCCTATTGAATGATGACCTGAAAATGTTTCGTTATTAAAGTTCACACAATAATTTAGACCGTAGAATGTCGATCTCCTAATCCGTGAAGGCCCAGGGTTTTGGGTCGGATGGCATGCAACATGAGCTCCAGAGGTGACAAATCTTTAATTCACTTTCTTTCTGTTTTTCGAGGAAATGAGCTGTGGCTGATGCAATCGACATTCGCAGCCACCTAGCATTGGTGACGTTGTGCGGCGAAGATGTCAGGTTCTTCAGGCCAACCAGGTGGTGATGGATCGTGTTTAGTGATGGAGTCGTGATGTCGATCACATGGTCAAAAGGAGCATGAACTCATCTGTTTTAGAATGGTATCTGTTGAGAGACAAAGGACATTCGGCAGCTGTTTCATCCTAACTGGTTTTCATCAGAGCCCAACAAGCAAATTACAGAGAGACAGTGTAATTAGTCGGTCATTGTACAAAATTCTATCTCCCCACTGAAAAGCTGTCTTCTGTGCACGCATTTACTGACCTCTCCACATATGCAACACAAACACACGCATAAGACTTGCACTCAAATAAAACATTCGTGAATGCACTACCTGTTAGAATCGGTTAAACAGTAACAATAACAGTTTAACACATACACCCTACTTGCACTTCAAACTTTGATGAAATAACTAGTCCGATAGGAAGATTAGACCCATAAATGTATGTACTGAAGAGATGAGTGATACATTTTTTAATACCGACGTGTCCAGATGCTAACTTCTGCGAAACGACCAAGACAAAGTTATATAATGCCATGTGACTCATCCCCATTATCAACAATTTCACCTTAGTTGGTTCGTTTTCATTTTTTTACCTGATCAACAATGGAGACAATAATGTTCGACTGCGATGTGAAGGATGATAATGAGTCCACGCTGCCGAAAGCTGTTTTGCATACTCCTTGTTTTCCATGTAATCAAAGCGAGATAGATAGGCTATTCTGACTGCAAGAGCTAGCATGAACCGTCGAGACTGGACACAAAGTCAGGCATAGTTACCAGTGTATGATGATGAAATCTGTTTTTCAGAGCAGCCACCCTCGCGCTGAACACTGAAGAGCTGCATGTTGCAATCAATGGCTATTCACTTCATAACCACCTTACATTATTCTGCACTGTATTCTTTGATCTCTCGAGGTTCATCTGACGGGGAGCGTATTAATTTTATTTTAGAAAATCAGGGACAATACTTGATCAATCGAATATCAGTCCGTTCTGTCATTCGATGAGTGAATATAGTCTAATATATGTATCATAACCATGACCAACCACATCGCTATAATGCAAAGAAAAACTAATCTCACGGGGAGGGTAACAGATGAAACGTTCCATCCAATGGCCGGGAATCGAAAGCTTTGAAAATTAAAACGGAATAGGTCACAGTTATCAGAATATTGTGGCAAAATCTGCTTTTCTACCTCCATAATGTCAAAAATAAGTGACTATTTGTGTATATTTGTTTTTGATTTTACCAGACATGATGTAACATCCCTCACCTTGCTGGGTATACAAAATTTGGTACATTTTGCTACCAGACTCAATTCACAACTTATTTCGTTTTTACAAACATACCGCAATTTCTGAAGTCCATCAACGTGCTCCTCCGAGCAGTTCAGATCATTGCATCGTAAAAGTATGTTCGACTGTATACAGTAAAACGAACCGATATACATTTTTAAGAAGGCATTCCAAGATAGTGAGTCAAAGAAATTGTTCATCAGGGAACCTAGAAAGGATAAGCTCCATGATTGCCACGACAGATTTTTCAGTGTTTCCCGATCAGAACACTTCTGTCCTCTGTGAAAATGTTACGGACTACCTTAACTTCTATTTTAACCAATGTTGCCCACTGGAAACGGTCTTTATTCATAAAGACATATTCATCACCGCTACTCAAGCAGCTACACTGGCGGAAAGAATAAGCCTATAAACCAGGACAAAGAATCCATGTCAAGTTACTAACAATTTCAATCAAAGCGGAAATAAATCGTCTAAAATATTCAATGACTGGCTGATAAGCGGAAGAATCTCTGATATTTGGAAACTGGCCAAGATAACTCCCGTTCCTAAAAAGGAACCTGGGAAGTATCTTCCCATCGCCTGCACGTCAGTCATGCTAAAATTATTTAAGAAATGCTTGTTACCGTGGGTTGTCACTGAGTCTGAGGAAGGTGACATACATCAATATGCATATCGCTTTTCGCGCTCAACACCTGATGCCGCTGCATGCCTTGTTCATTCAATAATTTCGGCACTAGATAAAAAATGTAAGATCGTCAGAATGGTGTTCTTAGACAAAAAAACGCTTTCGGCAGTCTTGATCGATCGGTTTTGCTCAACCTGATTACCGAAAGTGATGTTAATCCAAACATTAGCAGATTGATCTGCGATTATTTCACAAATAGAAGGCAGTTTACATGCCTCAATGGAAAAAGTCCTCCACTCGCCCAGTTTCTTCTTGAAGTTCTGCAATGTGCAATATTTTCCCCATTCTTCTTTTCAATGTATGTCAAGCCATTTCCCATTCCTCCTGCATTCATTGGCTGTAAATACGCATATGACATTGTTTTAGGTTGCAAAGCATCCACCCCTGAAGAGGCTTCAGAAATTCAAAGCAAGTTAAACTACGTTGTTACTTGGTCCCTGTCCCGTTCCCTCTCATGGAATGCCTCAAAATGTCAAGATGTATTTTCCCTCTTGTCCGATGTACCATATTCAGCCCTCACAGATAGGTTCCCCATCCTCTCTGCTAATCAACAATCCGTACCGAAATCAACAGTAGTAGAATACCTTGGCGTTACCATATCATACAATTTATCATGGTCACTGAATGGTCCAAAAACATTCTCTGAAGTTAGATAGCTTTCATAATTCTCACTCCGACTGAGAATACTTTCTGTCCGCCATAAGTTGATTGATAGGTTAGTGAATGAATGCGTGCTACCCCACTGGTTGTATTGCTTCCCAGTGATTTTTCCCGATATGTTAAAGAAAGACTTTTATTTACTGGCGGGATTTCTGAAACACATCTATAAATGTAGTAGCATTGTCAGGGATAAACTCGCGGGTTCTATCATAGACAGACACCTACA